GAACAAAATATTGACCATCATACTAGCGAAAAAATATTGAACAACAAAATATTGATCATCAAACTAGCAAAAGAATATTGAACAACAAAATATTGATCATCAAACTAGCAAAAAAAATTGAACAACAAAATTCTGACAACTGTAATGTGAACCACAATGTTGAACAACAACTCTCAGAATCCTAATAGCTTCTCTCCTGATTGCCTTGTCACATGTTCAGTCGATGGAAACATTATTGATGTAGCTAGGAGTTTGTGTGAACTATGTCGGCCAACACAAACAGTGATTGCTTTCCTGTGCACAAATGTTTCCACTCAGTTCAAGGCTATGCTGGTGAAACAGGTCACGCTACGTGAGGTTGCTCGACACGTTCGCAGGCATGGGGGTTCTCCCGAAGTGCAATGAATGCATGCAACCTCACGGATTGGAGCAAGCTACTGCAGTCGCTGTCGCCCTACAGACCATGAGAAGCTTCAGAGACATTTTTGCCGTGGTGTGTTCACATATTCAATCATCCAATCATCACCAGGGTGTGTCTTGTTCATTCATTCAGGTTTCACACCAAAGGGGAGGCGGCATCGCGAGGTATCCGCGACCATCTTTCCACCACCCATAAAAATGTCTCCGGCCTCTCGAGAGAGTGACTACCAACCACCTCACATGCGATTGCACTACAGGTGAGGCCATGGCCATCATTGTATACACCGCATGGTACGCACTTGTGCATCTAGAATATCCGTATGCCTGGCATCAGCCTGCATGCAACCATGCAGCATGCGCTCGCCCTAGCTCCGGCGCGGGTTGCTCATTGGGAACCCAGTCCATGAAGCGCCAACAGGGTGGTGTTCCGCTTTCATCAAACCATCGTCTGAACTTAACGTGACCAGCTTGCATGCGCATGTACTGTGGTGCCTTTATAGATATCAGTACTGAATCAGTACTATACCTGTATCACAACCTAGTGGTGCATTTATAGATATCAGTACTATAGCTGTATCACAACCTAGTGGTGCGGATGTCCACCCTGTCCCTGAATGGCGGCCCGTGCAACGCTGGCCAAGTCCGACATCGCCTTCCATTGAAGATGTTGACCATTGTCGCCGCCACCGCCGCTTCCCCTCGTTCTGGACCGCTGCCTTCCCTGGCCGAACCTGGGCGGCGTGCGCTCTCGATATGAGCCACGGTATCCGCGCCCTTTGGGCCTTGGATTGTAAACATGGTCAAAGTATAAACAACCCGCTGAGCCGCTGCACAACTAATCTATGGACGCACATGCACCCCATTAATAACATGTGTCAGGGTTTCCTCTCACACACCCAATGCAATACAATCTATCAAAACGTGTTGAATATAGATTAGCCACGGGAAGAATTGGCCATCGATCTCATACCCGCCTTCCACATACCTGCCACCCCACCGATCCTGCTCGCCGACCGGGTGGGCTTTGGAGCTCTGCTTGTCGCCACGGTATGCCCACCACGGCTTTGGCGCCGACCGGCCCTTGCTGCCACCTCCTAGGTAGGTTTGGCGCATGGTGCTCGAAAGGGCTCTGCACAGTAATCTATGACAGCTACGATTGATTTCAATTCTGTTTCCTTTAAGACTTGTTATATATCACCTCTTGAATACGTTTACGGTGACTTGCTGAATGGTGGAGGTTGCATGGGCTAGGTGAAAGCACAAAAGTCTGCGAATCATATCTAAATCATGCGGGTTGCTGCTGCTGGCATTGCTTTGCCCTGCACCACGCGTATCCTTGTTCGTGTTCGTGCCAGGGTGCTTGCCCTTATTCTTGCCCTTTCCTCTGCCACCTTTGCCGCCTTTGCCCTTGCCCTTGAACTTCCCCTTGTGCTTCCCCTTGTTGGAGGATTTGCCACCCTTCCCCTTGTTGTCTTCCGATCGCTCATCCGATCGCTCATCCTCCACCTCCTCCTCCTCCTCATGAGCACTATCGTGACCTTCACCTTCTGCAGCCGTCGGGTGGTCCTCATCCTCCACCTCATACCGCAGGTTCTCATCCTCCTCCTCCTCCTCCGCATGGCCATGGGTACCCTCGCCGGGGGCACCTTCTGCTCGCTCTCCATCACCATGTTCAGGTGAACCATCTCGCCACGACCGAGCCACCTCAGCTGCTTCTCCCCATTCCTCATTCTCATCTTCCTCAGGCTGATGGCGCTCGGTGACCTCCGCCTGCGCAGAGTCTAGAGGCGCAAGGCTGTTGAAAAACATTGTGCAAATAGAGGCGCAAGGCTTTTGAAAAGCAGTGAGAACACATAAAGGCCTATTTCACAGAACCAACCCTTTTTTGGAACCCAAAGCCTTCGTCAAGAGCGTCAGAGCTTCGCCTGGCTCCGCCCATCTGCCGCGCTTTGCTGCCCGCGTTGCAAAGCGCTCATCATGCGACATGGCCAGCAGATAGACCACACCAGATGAAGGTGGGATGGTCTATGATGGTCTAAACAATTCCAGTATACATGGACCTGGATCTTGTAAGGAAACATATGTCATGGGTTCAGGGTAAATAAAAATCCGGTGTAACCCTTGATGGCGTGCACCGAAACGTGTCACTGGTGAAACGGCCGTGTCACTGGCCAAACGGCATGCTGTGTGTGTGTATTGCGCGCAATGCATCCACTAAGCCTATATAGTGACATGTGGAGACGCGTCGCCTTGAACCACGAAGGTGGCACGGTTTCCTTTCATAGAATGCAACACATTCCTGCCGGAACACATAAAGTGCAGGTGTCTATGTTGGCATTTCTGACACCCCCACTGCGAAACATCCACAAACCTCACAACATCGGCTGCAGGGTTTGTCAAGAAACAACTCGCACCATTTGTAGCAGGGTCATTACACGACTCGCACATGAACTGAATCAAAACTGTGAATCCTAGGTCCTAGCAGAAGACAGGACCACCAAACATGGGCTCAGGGAAGGGCTTCAATTAATCCTCTACATACTGGAGAGTCTCGGGCATCGCAGCGTGAGGCATAGGAGAATCTGGCATAGTATCACCAAGTGGAGATGGCACAGGGTGGCGCGGAGCGTCAATATGGCCGATCATCCGTCTCATTTTTCTCTTGGTTTTTTTTTGGGAGAAGCCTTCTTCTTGCAAAACACTTGATCCGATTGTGACTGGATGAGCATCTTGGTGTGCTTCATGTTTTGGCCAGTCAGCTCCACCCACAAGTCTGCTGACTTGACACCCCAAAGTACATCGACCTCTCGCGCTTCTAAGTGTCCAACTGGAGGGAACGTCACAGAGATCACTGGGTTCACCAGGGCCTCATGGGAGCTCTTGATCTTTTTCCTCTTCTGCACGACGGAGTCGTCGGGCTGCACGTCCTCTACCTCTAGAGCCTCTTGAGCGCATTCAATGCTCTTCCGGCGCCTTTCGTCCAGAAGGTGCTTGAAGACAGGCACGTTGCATGTGGTGGCCTCACCTTTTTTTGAGGTAGTTTGCATGGATCTTTCGAGGCAAAACATCACAAAGCCGCGGTCGAATTTGGAGCACTTGCAAAAGGTCTTGTCCATCTTGGTCAATGTCGTAGGCAGCCATGGTTTGTTTTTGCCATCCTGCACGACATACCTCGAAGAAATCGTCACACCATGGGCTTCGACGCTCTCTGAATCACTGTCAGGTTGGCGGGACATGGCACTGCGAGCGTATTGGGGTGTACGCCCTGCAGTCGAGCGAGCTTTTGCTTAAGCCCTGCACTACATTGCATAAAACAAAGGCGTGTCGAAGTGGTTTGCAGGTCATGACCATGCATGTGTGAAAATCACACATTTAAGATACTTTCGAACACATGACGCTGACACTGCGCTGCAAATTAGACGTCAGTCTAAACTCACTGCTGTCTGGTTGGACAATTGCTGCCGCACACTGCAACTCTTTTGTTGGGCCTTGCGCTTGTCGCGTGTCATATCAAAAACTCATTCAGCTGTGCACAAGTGAGTTGACACGTATACCTAGGGAGAAGTCTGCCCCAAGATCAATGTCTTCTCAGAGTCGCGCCCATCATCTTCGCTGGTTGTGGGTCCAATATGGTTAACCGGCGTGCTTGCAGCTGCCAGCCCCTCAACAACTGGCGCCGGATGCACGCACCTCCGAGTGCGCTTTGGAGATGGCTCACATGCTTCAGGCTTTGGATCAGCCCCGGATTGAGCGAACTCGTGCTGCCTCTTGTGGGAGGTAGCCTTGGCATGCATGAGGTCGTTCTCTTTCAAGCCATCATCCTTCCCAGCTTCTTTGTCGATTTGGAGTTCATGTTCCAAACTAGCCCCACCCGAAATGCCATCGGCACGCTGCATGGGACTTGGAACGAATGATACGGTTGAAGCTAAGCAAAAACAAAACGTTTTGAGAGCACTCTGCAGCTTCCCATGCACACTTCAAATGACTCGAGGCCCACATGCTTGACCTACAAAGGATACACGTGTGACTTACGTGGAATGACCCTTGCCACATTGTGTGCCAGAAACAATGGATAGTCCAGTCTACAGCCTACCAATCCGCTCAAACGACTTACTCTGCGGCTCTGCGCGAAGGCGGCTGGTCTCGCCTCGTCTTGCGCTGGCTCGATGTGGCCATGCACCTGCATTGCAGTGCCAAGCATCAACACTAACACAAACAATTGCAATTGTTGCACTGTTCCTTGTCACATGTCCACAGTTTACTACACACGAAGCAAGGTCTATATTTAGAAAAAAGACTCGCTCCAGCAGGGCTCATGAATGGCTCGCTCATCTGGAAACAGAAAAGCCTCTCCAAAAACATGTGTGCGTTCGGCAGTTCCTTTTGACGATCCTGATTGAAACACCGTAAGCGGAAGGCCTCTGCAGCAGTCTCATGCCGGGGAAAACAAAGTAAACTCGCACAACAGTTGTTTGAGTATATCACTACATATAGTATCACTACATATAGCATATAACTATAACTACATATAGTATAATATATATAGTCAGGAAAAATGCGAGCGGCAGAGACACGCGCAACTATTCAGGCTTTTTGCCAGTCTTACGTCTCTTGACTGCGCTGGCGAAAGGGACCAATTCATCAGGAGTGTCATCATTTCGGGCCTCATCGAATTTCAGGAGCACATCGCCCTGTTGAAGGGCTCGAGTATTTTTCATCAATGGTATGTGCTTCAAACCTTTGTTTTCATCCCCTGGGTCAACGATGTTGACGATCTCTACGTTTGCCTTGTCCGGGTCGGAGGTGCCCTTCACAAACCAGAAAGGCACAACGATGCCCTTCCCATCCTTTGGAACCTGCACCACCTGGGTCAAGTAGAAGCTGTGACTGTTTGTGCCACATTTGCCCAGGCTCAATCCTTTTGGCTTCGATCGGCTGTCGACCTGAAGCGCCTGAATGGCGGGTGTGGCTGGTACCAACACCAGCTTTCCCACGGCCACTTCGCTAGTGGCCTCCACGGTCTTGGGTGGCTTCAGGTACACCTGGACTTTGTTCAAGGAGGCCTTGTGCTGCTTCTCCAGCTCCATGAGTTTCTCTACAATCTTCCCTTTTGTTCCAGCCACTATCATGTCATAGCTGTTGCAGCTGGCGAATGCGACATGGTCCAACGCCTCTCGGGTCTTGGGTTCATCGATCAGCTTCCACTGATTTTCGAGAAAGCTGAGATGGTGGCCATATACTGCTCCCCATCATACTCGATGACCACATTGCCACCTTCAAACTTCACAAGTTTAGCCTGCAACTTGTCTTTCTTCCTGGCAACCACTTGCCTGGCAAGAATCCTGCCTCCCGGAGAAGGATAGAAGGATCTTTCAGTTGCCCTGAGGCATCAAACTCCCTCAGCTTGGCTGCCACAGCTGTTGTCGTCAGGGCTGAACTCTTGGGAGGGGTCTTCAAGCCATCCCACTCGTTGGAGAGGGTGACCCCAACTGCTTCTTGGACAGCTTCGCAAAAAGCCAAGGCAGCGTGCTCCATGCTGTCACACAGCTCGATGTCCCTGTGCCTTTTCTGCAGTGCCAGCAGCACCAGCTGGCACTCGAAGAGATACTGCTCGGGGAACACCCGGTGACGCTGACGGTGCTCAACTTTTTTCTCCACCAATGCATCCACCTTGCCCATGAGCTCATTGGCCTTGCCAATGTCGTCCTGGAACTGCCTCTGGAAAAGCCGTCGGCAGTCGGTTGCCGTGATGAGGCGCGGCACCGGGCACGAATACCCGAGAGCCAGGAGAGCGTGCCTGAACCGCACAAAGGGGTCTGCATCCTTGGGTCGAGGCTCTTGGCCCAACAATTCATAGAACTCAACGCCAAGGCTTCGATCTGTCCCGGAAGTCGATGTTTTCACCAAGGCACTCGTGCGGTCTATCAGCTTTTGACCGCCGCCGAAAGCCTCAAAAACGTGAACATGGCCGGCATTGCTTTCGAGCATCGAGGTCTGCTCTTAACCAGCTCTGGCTTCAACCTTTCCCACTCGATGGGCGTCCCTGACGACTCTGCAATGGCTTGCCTGTTGGCGATTCGAAGTAGGATTTGCACCTCATGCTCTTCACGAGCCAGGTGATTGCCTGTATTGGCAGCAGACTGGATGAGAGAGGCCAGCTGAGGCCACTGCGCGAGCACTGCGGCAGACAAAACTTTCCACCGCAACCCTGCACGGCTGGCTTCAGCGTATGCAGCGTCCTTTTGAAGAACTTTCTGGACGTTCACCTTGCCGTCGATTGCCACCGATTCCACTGAGCATGGAGTGCCCTGCCCGATCATGCGCAGTGCTGTGTTCAAATGACTTCCGGACAGGCTCAAAAACTTGAGGTGCTGTGGGTGGACCTCCGGCAGTTTCCCACCACTCTCCACTGACAAAGCTTGGTTGAAAGCAATGGCTGATGAATCACCTGGAGCTGTCTCCACACACATGCAATTTGTGATCGAGGCATCAAAGCCCACGTCAACGATGTTTGCCATGAGGGAGTGACAATCATGCCAAGCCACTCCGTGGCCATCACGATTCTGAGGATGAATCCCGATGAACTGTGGCTCTATGACCATGTGCCGCAAGTACTGGCGCTCTTGCAAGGCATGCAGCACCTTGTTCACCGAAGACACCAGGGGTGCGCCAGGTGACTGCGCAGCCTTCACCAAAGGGTCTATCTCAGAGACATCATGCGCTTCCATGCTAGCAACTTCAGGCACTGCGAGCGTTGCACGCCCTGCGACCCGCCGTACACACGAGCGTTGAACGCCCTGCGTGCAAAATTGAACCAACAGTTGAGATGGAAGTAAACATTCAAGTGACGTGTCTGCAAAACCGCACAACCTCTGAATCGATCAACATTGGAAAGCAATGACTGCGCAAGAAGAATGACTACAAAGTTTAGTCACTTACAAAGTTTAGTCGCTCCAACCCTTAGTCACATGTCTGCATAGTGTTTTTCGAAGTCTGCGGCTCACCAAAACACTCTCCTGAACAGCATGACCTTCAAAAGGCTACGACTTTCGATCTGTCTACGATTCCCAAACCGGATCCCACCACGCCTCACGAGTGACCAACGCGCCGGATCGAGGGCCCGCGGTACGAACGAATACGGACGTTTTTTCCAAACGTTTATGTTTCAAACATTGACTGGTCAAACTTCTGATCTCTGCTTCCGTACAAAGGTCAAACGCATGGCACGGTTTTGTTTCTGATCTCTGCTTCTATATGTGGTTTGTTCAAAAACATACCTCTGTTACATGAAGTGATGCGCAGCGGCGCCAGAATAAACGTTAACATGTGTCGTTTCTATATTGCAAAAATAGTTTACATGCTTCCGTACAGACTGTAAATATAAATACAAATATATATGTGAAGCGCGCTCAAAAGGTCAAACACATGGAGCCGTTTTGTTTCTGATCTTTGCTTCTAAATGCGGTTGTTTGTGTGGACTCTGCATGGTGCCCTCACATTGGTTCTGCTTCTATATTGGAAAATGAATTTAGCACATATTTATCAGACTCTGCCACGAAAAGTGTATCGTTTCCGTTTTCCTTTTAAGAACTGAAGCATGGCCCGCCAACCAGAACTTAGCCGACTTAGCCAACATAGCTATGTAGGCTAAGCGTACATAGCTAAGTTTGCTATGTACACTCCAATCTACATAGCCTACTTAGCTAAGTAGGCTCTATCTAGATCCCAAGTTCGCCGCAAGTAGACCTTATGTAGGCCATCTAGATGGCCTACATACTTTCCACATGCATGTAAACAGTATGTAAATAGCATGTTTGCCAAGTTGTTGTCAACAACTTAGCAAACTTATCCGACATACTAACTCTGCTAACCAATGTTAGCACACATGCTAACTTGACATAGCCCACTTGCTATGTAGCACGTATGTAGTGCAATTGTGCTATCTAGATGCAAGCAGGGCCGGTCATCCAAGAAGGACATAGTTCGTCGGAGTTCGTCGGAATTCATCACAGTTTGTCGGAGTTCGTCGGAATTCATCGGAGTTCGTCGGAGTTCGTCGGAATTCGTCGGAGTTCGTCGGAATTCGTCGGAAGACAGGTTCAAGCTTTCATCCAAACAATTTCGGCGGGCAGGACCCATCCATTGCCCGAACAACGGATCGGTGGACTGACCCTATAATTCTGGCACATCCTATTTGCAATTAACCTTGAGCAGCTGAAGATCAACCTTGCGCACGGCTGTCAAGGAAGCGCTCAGAGGCCACCAAGCAAGGCATTCCCTACGCTGCATCCTGTTTCCTCGTGTCTGGCACTTGTATCTCCGTCTTGAAGCTTCAGCTCACAGTCACAAAGTTCTGGCCCGAGAAAAGGAATTCAGCAATGAGCACTGGACTCATGGCGGGCGGGATATATATTATATATCTGGTCTTTTGGGCAACGCGTGGCGTTGGATGGTGAGCGCGGATTGCACGGAAGCTCGCGGACACCGAAAATCCACGGCGCTGGCATGCGCTGGCCTACATTTGTTGTTTGTTCTGAGTTTTTGCCCCGTGTTCTTGCGAAGAATCTTGATATATCTTTCTGATTTTTTTTGAATCCATGACATTTCCACTCCGAACCTGGCATTATTGACGTGTGGGCTTGCTTTGACGTAAAACACGGTCTCCCCTCCCCTCCAATCCCTGTAGCTACACGCGGACCATTAAAAAATAATCTCGCGAAAATCAGCAGTTATTGCTGTTGTTGTTGTTGCCAATGGTGGATCAGGCTGTGAACGGCTTCGAGCAGTCGGCGTTGTGGAACAACAGAGTTGAAGAAGCCGACCAGGAGTCCGACCAGGGCATCGTTGGTAGCGTGGAGGGTAATGTCAGCAGGGACGTTGTTGAGGTATGCGTGAAAGTGTTGCGAGAGTTGCGGGATGGAAAGTTGTCCGGGATGCTGTGGGTAAAGGTGCTGCAGGATAATGTCGATGGCTCGGTTGGTGACGCGGAGAAGGTTGCCAGCCAGGGAGTACTAGTAGGAAATGATGGTTCTGCCTTTCTGCCCTTTCCGCCATTCGTTCTTCTCTTTGAGGTATACAATGCCACAGGGGATGGCGAAATCCTTGCGGAGTCCCCACTTATAGCGTGCGCGGAGGCCGGTGGGCACTGTCGCTCAAAGGTGCTCGGTGATGTTGAATGGGTTGAAAGAGCTCCGGTGAGCGCCAGGTTTTGGGGGCGCCGAGAAAGTATTGCTGAGGACAAAAGATTCGGAGCAACTGCTTTGTCGCCGAGGTATTCCTGGAGTTGGCGGGCGGGTCTGGCTGTGAAGCAGGGGTGTTGCTTGAGGTGATGGGTGTGTTGTTGCCACTATTGCTGGAAGAGGTGTCGGGGTGTTGTACAAGGGTGAGGGGGAAACCCTGGGTCCTGAGCCAGTTCCGGAAGGCTCTTTGAAAGGCGGGGTATACTATCGGGCTTTTGTGGGGGAGAAAGTGCTGTTGTCAAGAGTGAGGATGTAGTGTCCGTCTGTGGTGGGGTGAGTGGGATCCAGGAGTAGCGTTTTCATGTGGTTGGCTAGTACGGGCATGGCTTCTTCCCGACGACGATGGTTTGGCTGCGGAGGGTGCTGCGGGCGGCTTCACGCAGCCGGCAGGTGGGCACATGTAGGGGGATGGCGTGAGGGAGGTCTTGTCAAATGAGGGATTGGAGCCATCGTTGGGTGTTGGAGTTGAAAGAGTCATGTGCCAAAAATGGAATGGTGAGAGGGATGTTGGTTCGTGGTGGTGTGAGGTTGCGATACAGCATCGCTTTGTGGATAATCTGCAGCGTTTTGGCACGGCCTGGTTCTTCCAGGTTGGAGGCCATGCGGCAGATGGCATAGAGTTCAAGATCTGTATGGCCTGGCGACAGCTGCGGGGTTGTTTGGCAGCTTCAATGGAGTCGGCAGTGTGTTTGGTGAGGTTGCGTAGCGTGATGTTTTAATCTTTGTTCGCGAGAATCGCCCTTTTTATCGCGAGAATTGTCCTTTTTTCCTATATGAAAACAAGAGTTTGGGTATTACAGTGTGTTGTCGTCTGAGGATATCTTCCAAAAGTAATCAAGAGGTTGCCTGGATTTGTATTGCCTGGGCCATACCAATACTGTATTTCACAAGTAGTAACTTTCTTGGTTCTCTATGGTTGTTCTTAAAAAATTCAACACTGATTGATCTTGCCATAAACTAACTAGAGGTGGCTTGCCCCTCATTCTATAGGTGGCTTGCCCCTGATTAGTTGCCTGCATTTTTTTAAGAGGTGAAAATATTGACAGGAACCTTGCCATTGATCCTATAAACTAACCAGAGGTGGCTTGCCCCTCATTCCAACAAGATGTGGCTTGCCCGTCATTCCAACGAGAGGTGGCTTGCCCGAAAAGGTGTGGTTCTCGTAAAGAGGTGTGGTTCTCGTAAAGCGTTTTGTCGACGACGGAGCCTTTGGAAAAGGCGTTTGCGTGTGGCAAGGCGGGAGTAGAAATGTGCTCGTTGTCTGGTGAACTACCATCCTTGGGCATTCAATTTAAGGTGCTGAGAAATGAAAGGCCAGTTGAAGGGAGGCATCCAATTGGAGATGCGGTTGTGCTCGTGGACCCACGCTTGGTCGTAGGTGTCGTGGGGCGAGAGTTGGATGGTAGTAAACTGGTCTACAATAATGTTGTGGTTGCGCCAGTAGCGAAGAGAGAGTTCTGCTGAAATTGGAAGGTTGTTTTGGAGTTGTTTGCGCTTGGCTCGGCGATTGCGTTCACGATGTGGTATGCTGATGGCGGATCGGTGCTTGGAATCCTTGCGGGGTGTGGGAGTGAGGCCGCGCGTGGCCAGTCTTGCCTGCGCTTGCTGGAGTTCTTCATCTTGGCTTTGAGTTCTCGAAGAGCAGAGCTCTCGGCTGTTGGGGGCGCATGTGCGGTGAATTGAGTGATGAGAGTCCTATGACTGGGGCAAGTAGGCACGTGCTTGGGGCGTCTTGTTGGGGATGTCAGTCCCTTTGCTGCGGTGTACGGTTTCTGTTGTTGCATCCAAATCAATCCGTTGTGATCTCCCGCAGCAGGAGTGATCTCCTGCAGCAGGTGTGTGAAGGCGGATTCTGCGATGCTCCTGGTGGGGATGAGCCCGCAATATTGTCCATGACTAAGGGTCCGGGCCGTGAAGTTACCCGTGCCATGGTATGCAAGCAACCATGGGTAGACGGCAAAAGTGGGAAGCCCTGCGATGCCCGCTTTGCGGCACCAGGCTGTGGGCTGGATGGGGCGGAACGCGGAAAAGTTTGTGGTTGTGGAGGGAACTGTGGGCTGTGGTGGAGGGGAAGAGGTGTCAGTGTGGTGGGCTGGTACAGTTGGGAACGAGAGGGTGGCGGGGGGGGAAGTCCGGCTATGATGAGGCCGGTGAATGTGAATGTGGCCCTGGGGAAGGGTTTCCATGCGTGATGTTGGTGCGATTGGTGGGTGCGGATGGCGTGGGGCATAGGCCCGTAAGTGTGACTGGGTGCGCGATGGCCTCCAAGTGGTTGGTAGGCCTGCTGCTGCTGCTGCAAGTGTTGCTGCCAGTAGTATTGGTTCCAATATGTTCCAACGTGCGTCCATCGTAGCGATCGTCAAGGATGTGGACCAGAGGAGTCGAAATCAGGTTTGAACAAAAACGCAGTGTGAAACTTCCGGATCAGTCGACCCTGCAGTTGTCCTTGGCCCGAAACCTTCGCCACCCTGAGCCTATACTTTTGTCCT